TTCTAAAGAAAACAAGTGTCACTTTTTCTACAGTCGAATATTTATGTGGCCCCGATTTAAGATTCATCAAGCAGCCTCTACATATGATGAATTGCGTGCCACTTGAAGGCGCTTTACAGGCGGCTATGGCCAGTTCATCAGGGAGCGAATCTGAACGAAAAAAGAGCAGTCTGATAGCCACTGAGAAGAAAATGTCTTCATTAGAACTGTCGGGTTGCAATTATTACGAGCAATACCTTAGCCTAGTGGGTGCTACAATGGAAGGGGCTCTCAGTGGTTGTGTTGACAACTTGGCTGACCGAGCTAAATGTCAATGTCCCTTCAAGTGCTCTTCTGGATCCGTTGAGGAAGGGGGGAACCCGGATAAAGCTGTTTTTTTACAAGAATCGAACCAACTGCAATGCGTTACAAATGTCTACGACATGAAAACAGCAACGGCATGTATTGAGCCTAATTCTCATTTAGCATGTCCTCAATTATGTGATAGGGCCCATACCCAAAAGGAGCATATTACATCCACTCTGATGCACGAGGATGTCCACTCAAATTGCAACACCAGAGTCAACGTGCAAGGCAACCACGCAAATGTCTCGCTCTCGGGTAGTAGTAACTTCCAGCCCCTCCCATCATCCCTACGAATGCAAACGCTTGCGATAACCTCCTATGAAAATGATGCGGTGTCAACCTTGCTGCTCCATCCGAGCATCCCTGCTTGGCAGGACGCCAATCTACGGACTGCCTTTGAAAAACAGGCGGTCACTGTAAAGCTTCAGTTTGAGAGAGTGAGACTGATTATGTATTACTTTTTTTCATGCTACAAGTTGCTTTTCCGGAGACTTGCAACGCCAGAGCGTATCAACATATTTAGACGCTTGGTAACCGTCTTTGGTGTGCCCGAAAATGATATTCTGGAGAATTTGGCCGCGCGCTGTGTGATTAGACATATCAAACAGCACGAAGAAGCCAGGGCCCTCTTGGAGATGCAATCCCATGGAGAAAGGGACAAACAGCGAGCGATGCTAAAGCGTCAAGATTGAAATTTGAGAAAGCAGATACCTTTAAGGCAATGAGTATTAAATCATGGACAAAAAAAATTATGACATGATTATTATACAATAAAAACTAATACGCTTTATATATATATATATTTCTGCAAGGGTTCCTTGTATTTCTTGGAAATGCAACATCTAAAATTTCACTTTTGATATTGTGTATCCAATAAAGGAGTTAGGAGTGCGATGAAGGGGAAGATATGAGTTGAGACATTTTCTGATATTTTTCTTTCGTAAGTCCATAAATTATTTTTATGAATGCATATATTCTGTCTAAAAATCGTCAATTCTATATTGAGGGGAAACATACTACGTAGGTTACGAAATTTTTTTATGGGTCTTTTCTATATATATTATATATATATATCTATGTAAATTGTTTAATTTTTTTTTTCAGTGTGATGGAATTTAAAGAATAGGTTAATCTGACCGCTTAAAGATACTATTTTCGAAACGAATAAACAAGAATCACGTTCATTTTTCATTATATTCAACTAATCTTTTTTTTCGTGTGTTTAGTTTGATGACTTCCTCTTCGTTTTTGAATATGAGCGTTGTGCACCTAATCTATGCGTCATTGATTGCCTAGTGTGATTCCTTATTAGAAATTACATTGATGTATGCAATTTGGTCTTTTTTTCATGTTTAGCATTGAATAGAATTATTTTTTCACGCACACACTTTCTTTATTTGACTATTTGCTCGAAACCTTAACCTTCTGAGAAGCGTAATTCCTTCGGAATTGTTGTTGTAATTTGTAAGCTTCCTTCTCTCCAAAAAGAAACGTGAGTTAGCTAAAATAGAAGCGTGATGAGCTCACCTAGTAACATTCTTTCGATTCTCATTGTCATTGACAAGGCAATGAGTTTAATATTCTTAGAAGTGCATTAAGAAATTACCAATGGTGTCTTTGTTTTGCTAACCTGATCTCATTATTGTAGTCTTTTTTTCTTCTTCCCTTTTTAGTAAACTATTATATTTATACATCACCAAAATTTTTACATGTATATCCTTTTAGTACCCAATAGTTTCAATTTTTGTTTCTTACTTAATTCTAAGAAAAAATTCAATTATTTTTATGGTTAGCAGACTAAATTTGTATATTATTATTTCTGGTTAAAGCAGTCTCTTTAAAGAATAAGAGAACTATTTAGAGTCAAAATTAGGGGTAGGTTGACATTTCCCTCATTTTTTATTCTATTCGTACAAGTAAATGCTGAAAGATTCTCCACATTTACCAGTATCCAAAGTGAGTACCAAAACTCGTTCAAAAATCAAGCTAAGAAGAATTTATCTTTTGGTTTCTGCCTTCTTCGTCTTTTGCATTGTTCTCATTTCTTCTATTACAATTATCTTGTTTTATCTGCATCACATCAATACGCAGGAAAACAATAAGCATAACAAAATTGAGACTAATACAAGTGAAACCTGGGAGTTGATCTGGCGAAATGATGTTGTCAAAATCCTTTCTTCTGCGGAGGTTATAAAGGGGTTCATTACAGGGCAAATGAAGTCTATTCCTCCCTTTAATGACTCGATATCCAAACGTTTAGCCAACCAGAACTTCTCATGTTTTGAAAATGTTGTGAAGCTGATCAACCATACATTGTTGACATCACCCGAGATGATTTCAGCACCAGGTGGAGTAGCATGCCAGACGGTACCGCACATACCTGGTATGTATGGGTTTGATTTGCTTAACTATGACGATAGTGATAAAGTGCACAAATGGGTTTTACCTATAGATACCATAATAAACGTCCATAATACGTTGATAGGACCGTACATATCAGGTATTCCTAGTAGCTCTTACTCTGGTAAATATGTTATCCACGTCCGCGTGCCCATTTATGATCTTTCCATCCTGGATAAAGAAGGACCAATAAAAAGCTTTTGGGGGTTTCTTTACTTCACTCTCAGTGTTGATGACATTATGATGCGATATGGGTTTTACGAAGATATGGAGGTTAATTGTATCGACTACCTCACTTACACATTTTCATCTGATAGTGCTGATATCGTACCAATCGCAACGAATTTAAAAGATATCGACACACAAGAGAAACTAAAATATTTTATTGATAATAGTACCCTGACTGCTATTTTACCAGATGACCTCAATTGGTTTTTAGCTGTAAAAAGCCGATTAAGGAAAAACTATTTCAATAGCAAAAATATAGCTATCTTATTGTGTATCCCTATATTTTCTGTTATTTTATTGTTGTTCGTTTCCATCATTATAATATTATATTGTACACAAGAGTACGATGAGCGTAAGCACGCACCTAAAACCGCGCCTTTTGCGGTTCTTACAATAGGCTTCTGTTACGGGGATTCCTTATGGAATATAGCCTCGGACGAAATGGTGCGGATTACCGAAAAACTGAATTCTGTTGCATGCAAAGCAAAAGAGTTGTCACAAGGCTGTTCCATTCCGCAACTGCAACCCTATGTAAACTCGTATATTTTACAAAGCGTT